TATTACTTATTAAAGTATACGATTTATGTATTTATACCTCGGTTATTTTTCTAACGTGCAAGATTCAAATAATGGAAACACTCTGAGGTTCAGTGGGCTCAATTCATGTGACGTCATAGTCACATGATAATGATAACCACGGGATTCTAGCCAATCAATTAAAAAACTCGCGTCACACGATAAAAGCTATCTTTTTTTTCCAGATTATCAGTTCACGCGCTTCGTTGTTGCCAACTTTTGCTCTTTGCAGAAACTTTCCTTAAAAAGTACATATGTATACAAAATGCACTTTATTTAAAAGTATATGCATAAAATGATATTTTTTTCTTAATTTTATAAAATCTTTTTGAAGAATTTTTTTTTATAACCTTTAAACATATTTATCCAATTATGAAATTTGAAATTTTATCTAAGTTTTGCAAATAGAACAACAAGTACGATTAGTTTAATGTCTGTTTTTAATTCAATGGAGATCACGTGTATGTCTTTATCGTGTGTGTGTCAGGAATTGAGCCCATTAGCGATATACATGTGACGTCATAGTCACATGATTAATGCATGTTTTCAACCAATGCAGTTTATGCACCTCACTGTTGCCAACTTTTATTTTTTATACAGATACATAAACTTTCTTTTAAAAAAATACGTATTTGTTATCAACAATCACATACATAGGTAAAAATATACGTTTGATTTAAGAACACCGAAGTAATTTATGAATTTTAATTTTGAAAAAACGTTTTTAAGAATTTTAAAACTTCCGTATTTACTCGAATCTAAGCTACCATCGATTCTAAACCGTACCCCCAATTTTATGCACGTTTTTTTTAAAGAAAGTTTTTTAAATATGTAAAAGGTTCATCACACACACACACAATTTCCGATACTTCAGAAATTAAAAAATATTACAAGAAATAATAAGAAGTTATATAATAATTAATTTATTTTACAAATATTTTAAAAACTTTCAGATACATATATGAATCTATAATTACACTAACCGTCAGTATCATGTTTCGAAAATGATTTGTTTCTTTCATTATTACTGCTGACTTCGGAACTGGTGCTGACATCGCCATTTACTCACAATATGTCGTCTTCTGTGCTATCCAATGCATTTGTTATGCAATATTCTTTTAAAAGAGTGTATTATAGAAGAATATAAAAGAATTATTAAAGAGTGTTAAACACTTACAAGCAAAAATTGTATGATTACGCCATCGACGTATATTTGTTTGGTCCGTGTCAAATTTTCGATGGCCACTGCTCTGTTTCCATTTTTTTCACCATATAAAATTGCCTCCCTTTTCATACTTGCGTCATAGTGAACTCGTCTTGAAGCTATTACCGATATATCTTTGATGTTTAGGTGATTAAAAGAAAGTGTATATACAAAAAAAGTTCCTAAATACGAGCGGACAACGCTGTTTAGAATAGACTGAATACTTGAGATAAACTCTGGGATGGGATAAATCATCGATGCAAGTAGCTGGAATAGACGATTACATTTTTTTTCTTTTGAAAGGAATGGAAATTCAATTTCTCCCATCCATTAAATGCCTTGCATTCGATTCCAAGCCGCACCCAATTTTTATTTGCATTACCACTGGACAAAAGTGCGGCTTAGATTCGAGTAAATACGGTTACCCGTCAGATTTAGTTGTTATATATATTAAACGTTGTTTCATTTTATATCTACTTAGGAAAGTCTTAACTTTTCTTGAGGCCTTGGGCCCCTTCCTCAAAAGTAGGCCCTGGTCCCCTATGCAAATGTAGTCCCTCACATACGACCCTTAAAAGAAGACAGTACATTGCATACGTTATCAAATATTCGTACAAACAATAATTCGAAACAAGTGTGCATGACTTACAATCGTACAAACCGGCTCAACAGACTGCCACCTTTTGACTGAAGGAATAATGAGGGTGTATGGTGTTAGGCCTAGACCTATTCATGAACGACGGTCATCACATGTAGCCAATTGCCATATCGTCAGAAATTCCCTTTATTTCGGAATGAGTGAATATTAACGTCGCACTGTTCAGCTACACGAGGGCTTTGGGCGACGGACCACGTAATTTTGAACCATGGTCAAGTGACGTGGACGACACCTGAGCTTGCACCCCCCTCTCCTAACTACCACTCCACACCAACTGGAGGACGTTTCAGCTCTCGACAGATTTAACGTGCATCACTGCCCTACACGGCGGGTCTTTAGTGGTACTGGGCTCGAACTCATGACATGCCTGCCATGATCCGATACCTTGACCACTGGGCTACCGCAGCCCTCCCTTTATTTCGGAGAATACAACAGGAAAAGACCGTTGAAATTATTCGAATCATTATCTTACTAAGGCCGGGTCGAGAACCAGACGAGGGCCCCATTGTGTCCGAGACCCTGGGCCCGGGCCCATTTGTCCCATGCGTCAAGACGTCCCTGTATCTACTGTAATCAGTATGAACTACGATATGTCGGTTTTATGACAAACTCCGGTGTAAATCTATTATAATTTTTTTATATTTTCACTTCATTTTAGAAAAAGTGATGGTTGTTATTTTTTACAGCGTTCATTGTAATTCCCATAAAACTCTTTACCCATCCCCAAATCTCAACTCAGTTTTGTACGTATCTTGGAACGAAACTCAAAATTTTAGTCTGGAGCAAATGAAATTGTGTAAACATCCCCTCTGCGAGCCCGTATCGATTACAAGTGTTGAATTCTCATTAAGAGTAATGGCAAGGTCGAACTCTGTCAAACGAGGAAGTACCAATGGTCCTCTAACGAAGTTTTCTTTGTTCAATGACCGCCAGGCGTCGCTCTTTCCCTGATGCTACTCAACCAGAGGAAGTTTGGGTCACTTAATGGGCCCTACAGGGAAAAAAAAGCCAGCTGTCATGATTTGATATGAAATGTGAGTTGGAAATCTTTTATTTATTTACGGCTTTATTTATTTGGGTGCAATACGACGCAGTCGGCAAGCCAGAGGAGGCTCAATGTCATGATTTCTATTCATTTTTTTCTTTTATTTTGAAATCGATATCTCGTTTTTTCTTTCTCTTTCCTTTCTGTCATTGTGGATTTATTTATTTTTTTAAACTGATCTTCACTTTCTTATCGAATATGAAATTGTTAAGTGTGATTTTTTTTTCTTCTTTTAACGTAATGAAAATTTGTATACTGTTTCGAAACAGGGAAACTGATGTAAACTTTTTGAGCATGCGATAAAATGCATTCCGAGAAAACGATTATTTACAGTTCTTTTGTTTTAAGCATAAGAAACACTTTTGCATCGTTTTGCGTTTCGAATTTGTGATAGAAGTCCAAAAATTTGCACTATAATTCAAAACTCTTGGTTTTTTTTCTCCACATTCTTTATTTTTCAATTCCTTCTATTAGTTCACACTCCCCCTATATTTACTTATTTATTCAATCTTGTTCAAATTTTCAATTGTTTATAAAATATATTTTTAATTCATCCGCTCAAGTTCAAATACATTTTTTAAAACTTGTAGTAAATGACACTAGATGTTAACACATTTTTTCAAATATTAATTTATTAATTAAATTTAATAAATGAATAAATAGCAACAAACAAAAATAATAGTCCAACACCATATATAAAAAGGAAAACCGTTCGTTGTGACCCTGTAACGCAATGGATAGCGCGTTGCACTTCTAATCCGAAGGTCGTGGGTTCGAATCCCACCTGTAATGGCCTAATTTCTGAGAATATGACTTATTTTTACTACACTATTTTATTGAAATAATTAAATTTAATTAATGAATAAATAGTTACAAACAAAAATAATAGTCCAACGCCATATGTAGAAAGTATAATGTAAAATTGTAAGAAAAATCAAAGATTGTATATAGAAAGGAAAATTGAAAATTGCAAGGATTCTATTTTGCTTCTTAATATTGTGATTCTGTCCTATGTATATACCTATTTATATTAATTGTAATTATTTAATAAAAACTGAAATAAAGTTTTTCTTTGTTGACCTAAGTAGGAATTGACTTATATATTTTTTTCATTGTTCTGTTTTTTTAATTCGACTAAAAAAGCAAAACAGAAGAAAATTAATATCAGACTCCATTTTGTAAAATAAGATAAAAAATTAAATTTCTCCCAATTTTTTTTAAATATTACATTTTAACGAATTATAATATGACTTTAAGGTCTCTCTGAACTATTAATATTTATTAAATATTAAAACAGAAATCGCATAAACATCGAAATATCAAATAAGCTGTGATTTGAAAGATAGCTATTCTCACATATATGTAAATAATCAGCTATTCTTTGTTAGTAATCAGTGGCAAAACGGAAGATCAAACAAAAATAATTAACAAAAACTATAAAAACAACAATCAGTAATATTTTTTTAAAAAGTAAACTAGCTTCTCTTTAAGTCTTCCTGCGTGAGATGATTTAATTTTCCCACTATTTCTACTTCGCACAAGCATGGTAAAAGAGAAAAATGAAAATAAAGATGTAACTATTGATCGAAAACAATTTAGAAATAATCTTTGTTATGCCTCACTCACAATTTGAAGAAGTAAGAAAACAGATCAAAAATATTTTTCCGGTATTTTCTCGATTGTGGCTAAAAACTGTTACAAACAAAATGTTTCGTAAGTTAGTGGGCGGTGGAGATACGCATACTTTGTATTAAATGGATTTGAGCTTAACATAACATAATTTGAAAAACAAGTGATATATAAAAAAAATTAAGTCAATTCTTTCTTAGGTCAACAAAGGAAAATTTTATTTTAGTTACTTTTTATTAAATATTTACAATTAATATAAATATGTATATATATATATGACAGAATCACACTTTTAAGTGGCAAAATAGAAAGCAATTTTCTATTTTCCTTTCCATATAGGGTGTTTGACTCTATCATATTTTTATTTGCTACTATTTATTCATTCATTAAATTTTAATTATTCCAATAAAATAGTATAGTAAAAAGAAATCACATTCTCAGAAATTAGGCCTTCCCTGTTGGGATCGAACCCACGACCTTTGGATCAGTAGTCCAACGCGCTAGTCATTGCGCTGAAAGGACACAGCGAACAGTTTTCCTTTATATATATGCTGTTGGACTATGATTTTTTATTATTTATTCTTTTTTAAATTAAGTTAATGAATTAGTATTTCAAAAAACTGTATTAACATCAAATGGCACCCACTACAAGTTTAAAAATATGTATTTGAACTTGAATGGATGAATAATAGGAAGTATTTTATTAACGATTGAAAATATGAACAAGATATATATATATAATTCTCTCTGGTATCCTTTTAATTAACTCTTTTTAAATAATCTTTAAATAAGCTTTTAATTCTTTGGTTCAAAATTAACGCACTAATTTTAATCGTAATCGAATAGAAACATTGCATCAGAAATTATCGTTTTCGCCCTTTCTAACCAATCATATCTTTTGTTACATAGGAGTCACGCGATCTTCACTGCCGGTATAAAAGGGAAAGTCTTTTGTGATCATCTTTTTTTGTCTCCTTCTCGTCGTCTTGAATATGTGTAAATAGCTACCGCTCTTTGTATTTGCTATGTGATCGTCGCCGTTTTTTGTGTTTTATCTCTGTGTGTGCGTCCCATTCACTTAATTATTCTAAATGAGGTTAAACTTCATATGTGTGTACTGTTGAAATATCCTACTAAGTCAAATAAATAAGAGCAAAAAGTATCCTGTCTTCTCAAGTATGTAACGAATACACGAAAATGATATTTAGTAATCAAGGGAAAATCTACTCGGCACAGGGTATGTCATATATATAGGAGAGAGTGAACTTTTAGTAGGAATTGAAAAAAGATTTTTGGTGTGTGGTTCAAGTCTCTTTGTGGAACTGGACTTCCGATTCGGATTTATGAAACAGTGCTCTGAAATTATATGGAATAGCACTGGTAAAAAAACAAGTTTTTTAAACACGGGTTTTCTTTCGAACACACACTTTGCGTACACCTTAAACTATAAGAGCGAAAGGGAATGTTGAGTCAAATTGAATTTATTCAATAAACAGTTTTAAGAGTTTAATTTTACAAGGACTAGTTTAATTGTCTGCTTTCAATATTCAACTGTTTCACGTTGTAAACAATTGGAATTATGAGTAGAATTTAATTTTTTCAATAATTAGTTATAAACAATTAACTTTTATTGATTATAATTAAGTTATCGTATTGTCATCCAAAACAATCATATATAGAAAATTTCAGCTCAATTGAGTGCTTTAAAATGTGAGAAAAAAAGAGTTTAAAGTTTTAACTCAAGTCTCCAGATTTGGTCACCAAAAATGATGCCAACATGGCTGTATCTGTAATTCTTTAAATGATTAGCTTTAATCAATTTTTATTAATTGATTAAAGCTTTATTGATTTATTTAAAGCGTCATTAAATTATCGTATTATCATCCAAAACAATCGTGCATAGAAAATTCCAGCTCAATTGAGTGCTTTAAAGAGAAAAAGGATTTAAAGTTTTGACCCAGGCATACTTACAACGTGTGTAGAAAAGTCTGTGTCGAAATTTTGGGTGAGCTTGGACTCTTTGGACATTCCGCCAATGCACTCGCGTTTTTGTAGAGCAGTGGTTCCCAAAGTGGTCCTTACGGAACCCCAGGTGTCCCCGATATTATTCAGGGGGTCCATGGAAAATTAAAATTCATTTGGAGGTCCCTGAACAACATCAGTGGATCTGCGCAAAATTTAATATAAAAATTAAAAAATTTTGATCCATTTTTATTTTTAATTTAAATAAATAACAATAATTAATTTGGATATTTCCGACTGGGTGTTGAGCCCTTTTGCACGTGGACTAACTCAGATCCCAAACTCGGATGAATCCATACTAATACAGGAGCATCTTATTGAAATATCCACACACGAGGGACTAAAACCAATGTTTGAACAAGGATACCACACATTCTGGTTGCAAAAACAGATCCCAATTTCATATCCTTCATTATGGGTACAGAGAAGCTGTTGACTACTCCAATTACGTAGAACATGTATTCAGTGCCGTAAAAAAACATCACCATACAAAAAAAAAATGATTAAAAACTAGTGCTTGTGACAATTTGCGGTTGCTACTCACAAACATTGAGAGGGACATATAAATACAGTCATAACATCTCATCAAATTCATCCAAATCATTAATTTTTTGAATTTTATTTTGAACAAAATTTATAATTTCAATACATATAATTCTTTAACAAAATATTTATATTTTTTTTTCATTTGTAATTTTTATACTATGCATTTATGTAGCTTTTTTCCTTGGGGTTCCGGGGGCAAATTCTGACTATAAAAAGGGGTCCATGGGTTGCAAAAGTTTGGGAACTACTGTTGTAGAGTAGTTTTTTTTTTTTTTTTTTAAAGTAAATTATATTCAAATAAACATAAGGCTCGTTTTTGTATATAAATTTTTTCTAATTATATGTTTTTCAAAATTATATTTCAACATAATATAATACAAACTGATATTAGAATCCGAATTAAAGTATTATATGCAATTTAATCGAAACTCATCTAATACTATTGTTCTATTTAAACAGAGTTTAGAGAAAGAACATCTTTTTTTACAATCTTCTTTAAATCTATTAACGTAAAAAAAAATTATTCTTGTAACAGTTGAATCTTTCAGTCACGTCTTGGGTGCACAGCTGCATCCTTTTCCTCTTTTGTTTTAAGTCTTGGTAACCTGAGCCCATCTTTACACTCGACCTGTTTATTTTAAACGTGGTGAACTTTAACTGTGGCTGTAAGGGTACTTTGACTATGATTTGTTGTTTTGAATTAAAAGGTTTATTATTTTTTTACTTAGTGATTCAGTTAAAATAAGAGTCATTTTTCAATTCCCACTATTAATTCACACCAGGGGCGTAGCTACCGCCGTATCAATGATACGGGGCCCCCAAACTACAGTAGCTCCATCATGTTTACTACGGTTCCACTAACAAGGCTTTCATATCTAAAATAGGACCCCGAATGAATTTTAATGCAGGGCCCATTTAGAACTAGCTACGACAGTGTTTCACGCACTCTTTTTCTATATATTTATTTATTTATTTACTTATATATATCTTGTTCAAATTTTCAGTCGTTGATAAAATACTTTTTATTCATTGGCTCAAGTTTAAATACGTTTTTTAAAAACTTGTAGTGGCTGGCACTTGATGTTAATACAGTTTTTTTTTTCAAATATTAATTCATTAATTAAATTTTATTTTTTTTTATTTTAAATTTATTCTGCGTTATTTCTGACGAAGTTACGACTAGCTGCAACAGATGGTGCCCCCAAAGTAGAAATTTACTTAATTTTTTTAATCTTACTTGTTATTGCAAATGAAATAAATGAGTGAACACATATTTTACCATGAAATAAATGTCAATTTTTCAAAATTTGAAAAACTTTGAGCAAATTGTATTAATTTTTGAGACTTTTCTCTTCCTCTGATTTAAATTTCAATTAAAAAGTGAAGGAAATGAGTATGTTTTGTTCTAAACGGGAATTGGTTTTTTGTGAAGTGTTCGCCATTATCTAAATATATGAGCGAGAAAGGCACTCATACACTCATCACGGGATATCCAGAAGTATTAGAACTAGTCTTGAAACTTGGCAAGCATGATCCTTTAATGTAGTAAAGATCTGCTCAGTACGGGATTTGCGATAATTGGACACCTAGGGGGTTGCGTGGGTTATAAAGGGTGTTATAGATAAATACACCCGTAGACTTGAAATTTGGTAAGCGTGTTTCTTTTCTTGAATAGAGATCCACTAAGAACGCTTTTATCGGAAATTGACTTCCAAAGAGTGTTACCAGGGGTAAAGTGGGTATAATAGATAAAAACTCTCTTTTTTAACTGTTAGCGAACAGATATGAAATTTGGTAAGTGGGCTTCTTGTGATAACTAGAAATTCGCTAAGAACGGATTTTACGAAAATCGACTTCTTTAGAGGAGGGGGATTAGGTAGACTTCTTTAGGAGTTAATGGGACGTATAGATAAAAAGAATTCACAATTTCGAACTACTAGACCCACAGTAATGAAATTTGGTACTCTGTTTCTTTTGTTGAGTTGAAATTCGCTAAAAACGGATCTTTCGGAAATCCACTGAAGGGGGGTGAGGGTTACAAGGCATACTGATAAAAAAAATTTTCGTTTTTGAACTATTAGACTTAAACTTGAATTTTGGAAAGCATGTTTATTTTGTTGAGTAGAAATCCACTAAAAATGGGTGTTTTGCGGAAATCCACTTCGGGGAAAGGGAATACGGGAGCTTAAAAGATAATTCTACTTCAATTTTAGAAATTCAAGCCCTATCCTTTTTAAATCAAAAGGTGAGGGTTGTAAGAATGTTTTTCAATACAATCGAACTCTTAATGCTAAGACTTAGATATCTCAATAATTCATAGACCACATATATTGATACATCATGAAATACTCAGCGAAGCAGGCGTGTAATAGCTAGTACATCATAATATTCGAGATGAAGTTGTCAGTTTTAGTGTCTCACGAAAATGAAAATAGAATGTTCCTTTTATGTGCTACGTATATTTTATTGCTTACACGCTTATGCGGTTCAATAACCAGAAAGTTATTCGCCAAAAACCGTCTGTTTGCGCCCAGCCTCACTGTGTTGCCGATGGGTTTGTTTACTTTCCACAAAGACTATTTTCTCGTCATCCACACAATAGATGATTCTAAACTCGCCTTGTGTGAGTAAGATATACTTAACAGTATTTCTCTTAATTCAAGCACGCTTCCTCCGATGACAATTGGAATTGTTTAGAAATTTTATGAACTCACTGGGATGGCAAGAGAGAGAGAGGCGGCGTGAAAGACACACACAATCACGAAACCGTGACCAGACAACAGTTGGCTTGGCAAATTTGCCTTTCGCAGTTTGTGCAAACAAATGAAATGGCTGTTGGGTCGGTAGGATCGAAATCCTTTTTTTTTGTGTAGACGTTTATTGGTCTCCCGACTTGCCCACGATTATTGCAATTTTGTCACTGACGGAAATATATGTGTTTGTATTTTGGACAC